TTTTTTTTTTGTTCATAGGCAGAGCTGTGGACGGTTCACAGCAAAATATTGTTCCTATCATTTTTACCGTCAGAGATCGCTCCGACTGCGTTTCGCCATCGTTCCCAAATTTCATCTTCACAAAATATATTCCATACTTCAACGTGATCATCAGCTATCATCATCACATGAAATGGCTTATTGCAGATATCTTATAAATCCGATTTTTTTGTTTGACTACACTTAAGCGTTCAACCTGTAGTTGCAAATCTGCTAATGCGCTGATTGATTGGTTTCGTATCTCTCATTAGTTGCTTTGAACTCAATGAAACGCCTAGACTACAAGCCATTCATGAGTAGTGTTTGCACAAGATCTCGGTAACACCGAATACCGTTGTTAGAAAAGCGATACCGATCTCGGGATTCGTGGTGTCGCTATTCATGGTATTTCCGGTATTCATACCACAATTCACTCTCGATTCGTTCTCTTATTCATTCGTCTTTTCGTTTGTTCAGTCATCGTCGTCGTATTCGTGCAATATGTTTTAAGTGAATTCGGTAGTACATCAATTACGACTGGAGCATGAATCGTGCCCATTTTTGATTTTTGTTGAATTGGTTGAGCTTTGGTGAGTGATTTGTTAGGTAAATTNGCAAACACTATTCACGAGCGATTGTCGGCCGAACCAACTACTCATCGCAGGCCTTATTGCCCTTCCATAGCTGGTTGAACGGGAGATCCTACGACCAGCCAAACTCCAGAATCGTTAATAGCGACGCCTTCTGAAGGCAAACGTCCTGCCATTGGTTGTTTTCCATGTATCTGCATCTCTCTCTCCTCTATCTTCTTTCAGTCAGAGTCCAAAGCCTAGAGTCTAGAGTCCACATTCCTTGGTGATCAGTATAGAGTCCTTGCGCGTTCTAGTATCCTGGTGTTATCTTGTTCTATCTAATGTCCTTACCGGAATCCGTATTGGTTTGTGTTCTTACATATTTGCTTGCATTCAACTGTTTTTTTCATCAATCCATCCACGTTCACCTCTAATGAATGATCACTTTTCTTCACTAAATGAATTGATAAACTTTCACTCGTCGCATTATAAATTCACTCTCGATTCGTTTTCTTATTCATTCGTCTTTTCGTTTGTTCAGTCATCGTCGTCGTATTCGTGCGATATGTTTTATGCATTCACTTGAAACTGCATTTTTTAAACGTAAATTGATGTGAAATTTTCTTCGAAACTATAGTATATAGTAATGAGTAGCGCCGATTCGATAGAGCCGAATTATTCTATCGCAAGTCTCGCAGTAGGCGTTGATGAGTTAGGCAACAGATCTGTTTCGGCGATCTTGCTTTCGGCAATCGATTGACACATCAGTTTTGATCCGTTCAGCTGTTACATCTCAAGTGATCATGTTCTATCTATAGGTTTCCAATTGGATTTCGGATATCCATCGAGCGCCACATCTGTCGCTGTTACAAGTGAAAATCTTACTCCGAATCCGAAGTGTTTTCTACCGTCATCATTCTC